TTACCACACAAGACAGATACATACGACCCACAACCACATCATAACCTGTTTATGAGAACTCCCAGTCTCCAACTCCATATAATACACGAATCACCATATCTGATCCCAATTCTGCCGTCTGAACACATGACACACCTATAATACCCAATCTTTCCACGAGATATACTCCAAGAATTCTTCCATACCACCAAGTAAACTCGAATATCGATCGTCGATCCAACAAGAGAGTGCCGCAATACTAACGAAGTATCATTAACTCAATCACATTGCCCTATTCTGAAATGTGTACCCTCATCAAGCCACATCAATTAGTAATATCATTTTCCTAATCATCCAAACTGCCCGTGCTGCCTAAGAATTTTATGACCTTCCTTTCGGAACTAGACCATGACCTTACACATGCAAGTCTCAGTCCTACACAACATACCGCATATACCATACTATCCTAGATTAGACATGAGAACTTAATATCCCTTTCAAGCCACAAGAAAATACACACTCAACTCGCCAAGAACTTTCTATTGATCCCATCTAGAAGAAAATCACTATACATCCCATGTTCCTCACGCTCGCAGAAAATATACATCTCTAATTGTGGTAGAAACTGTCAAGAACTCTCTGAATTCCACTTGCACAAAACTAAACCATCAGGACTGAATCCTTCTGACTCAACCAAGCTACACAGGCCGTTAAAACCCAAGAGCATTGTAGCGAAACACCTGCATAAACTCATTACCTCATAAGCATCCAAAGAGCTAATCATATCCTTACCATACCGATCCAGCCTACTACCAAACTACCCCATCTATCCGAGTTTCCCTCTAATTTACCTTCAACTTGATATTCCTTCTTGCTGTAACACCACAATTCCTCAACCCAGACTAACCACCCGAGACCCAAGCATAAAACCACATCGTTTAAGTCTCATAAGCCGCTGAATACTCTCTTAAATATTCCCAAAAGCACTACATTCAAAATACCTACCATGACAAAACTTCCTATAAATCTAAAGTCATTACCTTCGCCTTCCGGATATTGATATACAGAGAATTCCCTAATTGATATCGAAATACCACAAGTCTTGACACCCTCCAAATGCAAACCTCAGTTTCTATCCAAAAGTACAACTTGAAAATCTCCAATTATTGCCTGTAAAATCTTGAACACATTAGAACCATTCTCGAGAGTCATCCATTCTACTCAAACTACAATTAGCCTGATCAGATGAACCGAATAACCTGTGCCTCATTAGCACTTCGACACCGCAGAATGTAACCTCACGTTAATGCAACGAAGCAACTTCCTGCCCTATGCACCGAACATCCTTTACCAATAACAACTCAAGTCATTTCGTGACTCTCATACACCCACAAAGCATAACATAACATTTATTGAAATTTCTTTTACTCGAGTCATCCTTGGTCCCAACCTCTACAAGCCATAATTGATTCACCATCACGCCTCAAACTGGAACCAATGTAGCACATAATCGTGCAATTACCTAATCAATAGCAGACTCCCCCACTTGGATCAAAGCCATAAATCAAATCACACAACAACTCATAATGCATATACTCTATCACTGCCATAATACCATAGTGAGATTAACTCAATCCTTCATAATCTCGTACAACACAGACCATCTAGTACCTCAAATCTTCTACAAATATCGCATTTGCCCTCGTAGCAGTCAAGCCCACTCTCTTAGGCTACCCAAATTCAAATTGCAGCACATACATTTTACTGATAGAAAAGATCTTCCATTAGACCACATATGGATCACACAACTTCAGAACACTCCGCAGGAGATAACCCACCCGCTTCGCCTCAAACTACCATTTCTTTATACCCTCCACCATCATAAACATTATGTAGTCACTTAATCTCCTAAGTCTGAACTCATAACACAACGTGAAATCTACCTTACTCCCCAACTAGAAAACATGAAAAGATTCTTCACACACCCATAACTCGGGGCTATACCTCAAATCAAGATGGAGATCAAGCACCTAATATGTCTTCTATCCTCCAGCAGACCCTTATCGTCGCTTCCAAATCATATTGACACATCTCACAGTCATATCGTACTCATCACATAGCTACCTAGTCATCACTACCACTAATAGGGACACTATCGGACATACAAATCCACAAGCACATGCTCACACAATCAACGCCTCAATGCTTAAGCTGTAGGCAAAAATCCGGCCTCAAGTCCGCCAGACTGTCCCAACATCAACATACAGAGATCACGTCTTGCCCCTCGATTAGGGAATCACAAGCCATATATGCATATCTGATACGGAGTACTTTTGTGCACATACGAATGCGTGGAAGGGATTCAAAGAGTTACATTCCAAGTTGAATCAAGGACGCACGATAACAATTCAAGAATGTGAAATTTTTCCTAAAGGTTCTGCAGGCTCCCGAGGATAAGTACATACATCTCCGTACCGATCCACAAGACTCTACTAAACCTGCTCATGACTCGTGAGACCTATGTAACCTAGGCTCTAATACCAACTTGTCATGACCCTAAACCTGGACCCGATCGTGATGGCGCCTCTCGTGAAGACAAGGCCAGCCGACACAATGACCAATTCTTTTTAACATTTAAAATACACCCTTTAAGTTTTTAACATGATAAAATCTCAATTAAGCAGTGAAACAGTAAAATTTGCGGAAGTAAAACCAACACAGCCCGACATCAGGGTGTCACCAGTCATGAGCATCTATCATAAGTCTACAAGTATAGAAAGAGTTTACACATGCTATTGCATAACTAGGACACAAGAAATAAAATAGGAGGGAGAAAAACTGGGCTGTGAATGCCGAGCAACTACTTAGTGGACTCCGAATACCCTGCTGAGCAATCAACTTCACTGGCAGGACCTGAAATGCCCGAATCTGCACGCAGGGTGCAGGGAGTAAAGTGAGTACTCCAACTCAATGAGTAATTATAATAAATAAAGACTGAGCGATACGAAATCACATAAAAACACAACAACATGCTATAAAGAAGTAGTGTAAAACCATTAAAAGGCAAATAGACAGTGAAATCTCATAAAAACACCTTAGTTCAGAATAAGTTTTCTTAAACACCTTTCTAACAGTTAAACAAGTAAATGACAGGCAACTAGAAGAGATAAACAAATAAGAATCGCCCCTCGGGCACAATACCAATAGAACCAGCCCCTCGAGCAACAACATGGAACAACACCAGCCCTTCGGGCTATATCTCATATCACAATGGGTACCCGCGCTCACTAAGGGTGTGTAAACTCCGGGAGGGGCCTCTTATGGCTCAAGCACAATATCAAGCCATCTCATGGCATAATCAAATAGGCTCTCGGTCTCATATCAAGCCACCTCATGGCATACATCTCAGGCCCTCGGCCTCTAAATCATAAATCAGTGTATCCTCACAGCATAGGCCCTCGACCTTACTCAGTCAGAATCTCATAAGCCACTCGGGTAATAGTAAAACATGATGCTCAACCAAAAAGAATCATTTAGAAAATCATTAATGTGTTAAAACAGAGTAAACATGGCTGAGTTATGAAAACACTAGAATATAGCATGAATGAGTACAAGTATAAAGTCAAACAGTGAGGAAATATTAGTAAAAGTCCCCTAAGGATCCAAATAGTTGGCATGAGGCCCAAATATGGCTTTCAGCCCAAAAGTACCAAATCCGACAACAAATGGCCCCTCAAATCCTCAAGTCAAGGTCTCTAATCCCAAGCTCTAGTTTCCCAAATTTTTAACCCTTAATTTCCATAATTATAGCTCTAATCTTTTAAATAATACCATATAAACGAGTTTTAGGTTCAACAATCTTACCTCCAGAAGTTATCCCTTGAATTCCTCTTCAAAATAGCTTCCGCAAGCTCAAACCCGAGTAAAAACGGTGAAGAAATAGCTCAAAATTGCGAAGGAAACCTTTTATACTTTCTGACCCTGGCTTTTCACACCTGCGGTCCTTTTCCCGCTTTTGTGGTCCCGCTTCTGCGGCCTAATCCACCGCATCTGTGGTTTTCACTTAAATGGCCATTCCCACATCTGCAGTTAAAAACATCGCACCTGCGCTACCACAGGTGCGCCCACTTCACCGCTTCTGCGGTTCTTGATGATATTCTTCTTGGCCGCATCTGCGGCTGCCTTCTACTTCTGCAAGCATCGCACCTGCGGCCTCCAACCGCAAGTGCAGTTATGAAAGCAACAATATACTTCAGCTGTCCCAACACGACTTCAAACATTCCGCCAACCATTCAAAATTGCCTCGAGGCCCCCGGGACCTCTACCAAAAGCACAAACAAGTCATATACCACTACCCAAACTTATACCAATCTTCGAAACACCTCAAAAAACATCGAATCTATCAAATCACATCGATTTCAAAATCTATATTCCAAAATCTTCCGAATTACGCTTTTGATCAAAAAGTCTACCAAACCACGTCCGAATGACCTGATATTTTGCACACACATCCCAAATGACACAACAGACCTACTGCAACTCCCAAAATTCCATTCTGACCACTATATCAAAATCTCACCTATCAACCGAAAAACGTCAAAATTCTAATTTCGCCAATTCAAGCATAAACATTTCACGGACCTCAAATCACATTCTGATCATGCTCCTAAGTCCCAAATCACCTAACGGAGCTAACCAAATCATAAAATTTTTGATCCGAGATCATATACCGACAAGTCAAATCTTGGTCAAAGCTTTCAAATCTTAAACTTCAAACTGAGCACTGTTTCTTCAAAATTCATTCCGGTTACCCTGAAAACCAAAACTGATGATTTACATAAGCCATAATACATCACATGAGGCTAGCATGCCTAAGAACTGGCGAGCGAAGTGTAAAAGCTCAAAACGATCGGTCGGGTCATTACAGTCCAAGACGACGATATGATATGCTAACAACAAATATTGTTGAGTCAATGAATAATGTTTTGAGACGTGCAAGAGAATTTCCGCTTTTAATAATGATGGGTTTCATACAAGAAAAATTGCAAAGCTGGTTCTATGAAAGAAGGACTACTGCAGAAGGAATATTCCATGATTTATCAAATTGGGCAGAAGCAACATTGGAAGAAAAAATTAAACCAGCTTTTACATTTAGAGTATTGCCCATTGATCGACTCAAATTCAATGTCAAAGAAGAGGGTATGGAATTTATTGTTGATCTAGACAAAAGAACATGTGATTGTTCTGAATTTCAGATGGATGAGATACCCTGTGAACATGCAATTGCTGCAATTGAAAGTATATATCAAAAGAAATCGGCCTTTTGCTCGGCCTATTATTCAAGGGAATTTTGGTTGAAAACATATGAAGGGCAAGTAAATTCTGTAGGTGATTCAACAACATGGGTTATACCAGATACTATTAAATCAGAAATCACTAAGCCTCCAGATACAAAAGTAATGCTAGGAAGAAGACAGAAGAATCGACATGTTTCCTATATAGAATTCAAGAAGGAACCTATATGTGGTCTTTGCAAAAGATTTGGGCATAATAGAACAAATTGCACAAATTCCGCAATAGTTCATCCTTATGCAAGAAAATACATGAAAAAGAATGATTGATTATATACAATAAGGTTGCATAGGCTCATGTGAAAAACTGATTGTAATCCCGAATAATTTGTTCAGTATTCTTGTTTTTCAAAATATTATTGTTGTCTATTTTTTTGTTTCTCGATTTATTTCTTGATTTGCTGTAGTTATATAATAATATTTTATTTCCATATATCTATCATATTTTTTATCTATTACTCAGTTAAATATACTGGAGCTCGGAAAAATATATTGATCTAGTATAATATATATATATATCAACATGTCATGACCTGAGTTCGCCCTCCATGAACTATCTTGACGACACCTAGTCTTTACAACTAGGTAAGCCTAACAATTTGAGAAAAGAAAACCGAAAGATAAAACTAGCCAAAAACTGCGAATAAAACATAAATAAAACGTTTAAGATGTTGCTCGGCATTTACAAATATAACTCTTAAACTGAATCAACTCCCAAAACCCGGAATCTCATGAAATCACAAGCTGCTGAATAACTACAAGTGTTCTAACTTCAGAATAGAGAGGGACTCCTCATTTTGCGGACGCGACAGATATACCTCAAAGTCTCTGAAGATCCCCTTGCCTTACAGATGGTATGGCTGAGCCGAAGAACCTGGATCTGCACATGAATAACACGTGCAGGAAAGGGCATGAGTACACCACAACGGTACCCAGTAAGTGTCAAGCCTAACCTCGGTCGAGTAGTGACGAGGAAGGTCACGACCCTACTGGTTATATAAATATATAAGTGAGGTAAAACAGTATGGAATACGACAATATAATAAGAATGCTAACAGTCTATAATGAATAAAATCACAGAAAGAATCTAACTCAATGCACAAAAATAGCAAAAGGGGATCACCCAGGATATTGTCCCATAGTCCCAAACGTAAATGTCCAGAGGATCTCCCGGGATATCGTCCCATAGTCCGAATCATAAATATGCAGGGGAAAACTCGAATACCAATCCATAGTCCCAAAGTAAATATCCAGTATAGGGGAATCTATCGGGTGATGTCCCGTAGTCCCAATATAAATGTGCAGAGGGATCTACCGGAATACCGATCCGTAGTCCCAAAGTAAACAAACAGGGGGATCTCCCGGGATATCATCCCGTAGTCCCAAAGTAAACACACAACAGTTTCAGAAGAATTAACAATTTTATTCTAGAAGTAAATAGGAAATTCTACTCTAACATGCTGCACAGAGTACAAGTAGGCGATTAAGGCAGGTACGACAATTAAATCACATAGGCATGTTTTTCCTAAACTAAGTAAGACGCTTTAAGTTCAAGTATTGCTCAATTACAAGAAAACATAGGTATTAACTTAATGAAAATAGGATTTTTCAATAATTAGCATGTGTACGCACTCGTCACCTCACGTACACGACACTCATATAATAACAATACCAATCCTAAGGGGAGTTCCCCCCCACAAGGTTAGGCAAGCCACTTACCTCGAACCAGTTCAATCAACTCGAAATCACGTTCTTTCCACGAGTACCCGAATCCAAATGGCCCAAATTAATAACACCTGAGGCCCCCGGGACCTCAACCAAACATACCAACCAATCCTAAAACAACATATGAACTTAGTCGAGCCCTCAAATCGCATCAAACAATGCTAAAAACACAAATCACCCTCCAATCCAAACTTAATGAATTTGAAACTTCCAAATTCAACAACCAATTCCTAAACCAACGAAACCTCCTCCGATTAACCCCAAATTTTGCACACAAGACATATTCAACACTACAAACATATTACAACTTTTGCAATCAGATTCCGATTCCGATATCAAAAATTCACTACCGATCTGAAAACTTCAAAAGTTCAACTTACGACATTTCAAGCCTAAATAGGCTACGAATCTCCAAAAACATAATCCGAACACGCCCCTAAGACCGAAATCACTCAGCGGAGCTAACAGAATTGACGAAATTCTATTCCGAGGGCGTCTTCACACTACTCCGACTACAGTCCAAATTCTAAAGCTTAAGCTCTCATTGAGGGACTAAGTGTCCCAATACACTCCGAAACTCACAATGAATCATCCCTTCAAATCAAAATAGCAGAAACAAACACGAGGAAAGCAGTTAATAGGGGATCAGGGCGTAAATTCTTAAAACGACCGGCCGGGTCGTTACATCCCCCCTCTAAAAACATTCGTTCATCCTCGAACGAGTATGGAGACATACTAGAAATGGTGAAAAGATCAGGGTAACGGCTATGCATATCCTGCTCGATCTCCCAAGTTGCCTCCTCGACCGGCCGACCCCGCCACTGAACCTTCACTGATCCAATGTTCTTTGACCTCAGCTTTCAAACCTACCCGTCCAAGATCGCCACTGGCTCCTCAAAATAAGATAGATCCTTGTCCAACTAGACTGAACTAAAATCCATCACTTGCAACAGATCACCGTGATACTTCCGGAGCATCAAAACATGAAATACCGGATGAACTCCTGCCAAGCTGGGAGGTAAGGCAAGCTTAGAGGATACCTCTCCAACACGCCTCAATATCTCAAAAAGACCAATAAACCTCGGACTCAGTTTCTCCTTCTTCCCAAAATATCATAACGCCCTTCATAAGCGAAACCCGAAGTAAGACCCGCTCTCCAACCATATAAGAAACATCACGAACCTTCTGGTCAGCATAACTCTTCTGTCTGGACTGGGCTGTGCGAAGTCTATTCTAAATCACCTTAACCTTCTCCAATGCATCCTAAACCAAGTCTGTGCCCAATAATCTTGCCTCACCTGGCTCAAACCAACCCACTGGGGATCTACATCGCCTACCATACAAAGCCTCATACGGTACCATCTGAATGCTGGACTTATAACTGTTGTTGTAGGAAAACTCCATCAATGGCAAGAATTGATCCCAAGAACCTCCAAACTCTATTACACACGCAAACAACATATCTTCGTGATTCTGAATAGTGTGTTCGGACTGTCCGTCCATCTGTCGGTGAAATGCTGTGCTCAACTCCACCCGAGTACCCAACTCATGATGTACAACCCTCTAGAACCGTGATGTGAACCGAGTACCTCTATCTGAAATGATGGAAACTAGAATACCATGCAGACGAACAATCTCTCGAATATAAATCTCCGCCAACCGCTCCGAAGAATAGGTAGTACATGTGAGCATGTGATTTTTGCCCTATATGAATTACTCCTATAAAATCCAAGAAAGTAGATTTTTTCTAATTATTTGCCATTTTTAGGATTTTTGTAGGATCTTATCAATAATTTGCATTTTTGTGCACATTATTAAAATCATGAAAAATATCAAAAATACCATTCATTGCATTTAGGTTTTGTTTTTACATCTTTAGGGTTAATTATCAATTATTTGTTTTATTAAAACAATGAAAATCACAAAATAACTCATTTTACATTTTTTACCTTATAATTTTTAGATTAAGTGATTTTTCTCTTTTAATTTAGGATTAAGTAATTCTATAATTATTGTAAATAGATATTTGGCTTAATTTTACAATTTTAGATTAATTTAGGAATTTAATATATGATTTTTAATTAAAGAAAAAGAAAAAAACAAAAGAAAAAGGAATAATTGGTTAATTGAAAAAGGGATTTATTTTTCTTAATTTGGGTTATTTCTAAAGCCAAACCCCGTTCCAAGCTAACCCAAACCCAAGCCCAAATCAGCCTTACCCGGTCCAAATCCCCCACCCTCCAAACGACACCGTTTTTCGCCCCAAATAATCCCAACTGTTGATCATCACAAATCTAACTGCTGGGAACTGATTCCCATTTTAATATAAAACGGTCGGAACTCCCCCTAACCCCAGAAACACCCCCCCTATTTCACATCATCCATGTATCTAACCCCAAACCCTAGCCGCCCTAAAATACTTCACGGTCTCTGCCGCCAACCGCTACCGGAAATCGCCTCACGACGGTTCCGGTGCTCCAAACACCTTCAAATTAACACCCCATAACCCCTGTCCCTTCCTCTTTCCAAATCCACAAGCTATTTCTCTAAAATCCCCACCCAAACCCTCGAATCATAGATTCAAAAATCAGTTTCTAAACCCTAAGTCACCCAAATACCACCAAATCCACACCATGCAATCCCTCCCTTCTCCTCTTCCCAAATATGCCCATGGTTCATCTCAAATCAGCCTCAATCTTGTCGAATCTTAAATCTAAGATTCTGAAAAATCCTAAATTTTCCTTTCTTCTTTTCTTGGTCAATGTTTTGGTCAAATGAACCCAAAACATCCATTAGTTGACTGTTCTTGTTAAGAACAGTCGATTAATGCTAGTTCAAAGTTCAGTTTTACCTTGATGAAATTTGGTTAGAAGTTCGTGGGTGGTCCAGTTTCTTTCATCTTTGAAAAATGAGCAATAGGTAATCCCTTCTACCTTTTCTTTAGTTTTTTTCTATCTTTTTGTTAATTTCCCTTCAGGTTAATTGTCTCTGATTTAGCCATTTTCTTAAGTCATCTTTTCTTTTCTTCAACTGTTAGCATCATTGATTGTATGTTTTATATTTCAATTTTAGGAATTTTATTTGCCTAGGTTTACCATTTTAGTTTTTGATTATCCGTTTGTTTTGTTTCTTTTCTTTCATGTTTGTTCTTCTTGCACGTTTGTTTTCACTGTCAATTAGGGTAATTAGGATAGGGTTAAAAGCCAATTAATTGCCTATTTTAGATAATTCCTGATTGTTTAAGATTTAGCTTGATTCAATCTCATTTCAATTAAAATAAGTTAATTTTGATTCCTGACTTTCTTTGCACAAGCATGCTGGATTTTAATAGTTGTTTGAATGTGAGTTACATGTATTGATTGCTTACATGCTTTGATTGCTTAGGATTAATTTATTTTAAACTTGTCAATTAGGTTTGAACCTCTGAACAAAAATTTAAACCTTAGTTTAATTTCAGGAAAAAATGCAATACCCTAGGTTTGCAAATTAAGGCAGCCTAATCACTTGTTTGTTGCTAGAAGGTCCTAAAAGTAGTTGGAATTGAA